CAAGGATCTGCTTTAGCATGGTTAAAAGTCTTGAGCAAATGCATCCTCAAGAAATGCAAAATATAAAGTCTGCCTGTACAAAAGAGCAGCCTGTACAAAAGAGCAGATGATCTCTAGATTAGTATCTGCGTTATATGTAGAATTAACTGGAGAAAAGTTAGATGATGCTATTGATTTTGAATCAATATTATTAAAAGTTCAATTTTGCGACATATGTCTATTAGAAGAATTTGTTTCTTCTTACATAGGCTATATTTTTGAATTAACTAGCTTAGAGGAAACATTTTTTTGGTTAAAAACAGAAAGGAAAAGATAGAACTAGAGACTTTCTTCAAACTCTTGTTTTAGGAAAAATTGGTACTTTAGCTCGAGCATTATTTTATAGAAAACGAAGAAGATCTATAAAATGCTAGAATCAGAAGACTATGAAGAAACTAATACAATGATGTCAGAGCTCGAAGGAGAATAGTAAGTATGGGGGGTCCTACCAAACTACTATTGAATAAATAATTGAAGGGAATCTTCACTGAACATAAAGAGGAGACGTGTCAACCCTTGTAGCCAAATTGCCAAAAGCCTAGTCTCATCTGTTCGCCACCTCCAGAAGAAACCAAAAGACAAATCATCCCACTTAAGTCACCTCTATAAAAAAACAAGATGCTACCTTCTGGCCACATCCAGAAGAATCGCCACTTAGCCACATCCAGAAGAATCATCACGTTCGTTGTTGTACCATTCTCTTGTTGGGGAATTTACGTCAAAACCCTTAAGACAGCAGAAACGTAGTATAGAGAAAATACACCAAGATTTACGAGGTTCGGCAACTGCCTACGTCCTCGGGAGCCACACAGTTAATTTCTTATTAATCTTAACAAAAAATTACAAAACAGAGTAGATTTCAAACTAAGATCTCTCAATAAATACAATCTTCACTGTAGCTACAGTGAAGATTCCCCTCTTCTTTAATACCCCCTTTAATTTCTTTCACCCCTCTTTAATTCCCTTCTTCTGATTTCTCTTTCAAAATCACGAGAGAGAGAGAGAGAGAGAGCTGGAGAAAAAATCGCGAGAGGAGAGAGGGGTTCCGCCGCCACTGAAAGAACACGAGAAGATGACGAGGAGCATATCATCTCGGGCTTGGGGTTTCCCTTTTATAGGAAAACCCTAGCCAGCTAACGACAGCCTGTCGTGAGCTGTCCTCGAGCTCGCCTGTGAGGAGGCTTCGACCTCGCCTGCAGCTTTTCCTCGCCTGCAAAGATCTCGCCTGATCTCGTAAACTCGCCTGCAGCGCTCAAGAACTTGCCTGTGCTGGATCCGCCTGCCTCGAGCTTGCCTTGAGCGACCTCGCCTGATCGAAACTCGCCCTCGCTCGAGAAGCTCGCCTGAAGTCCACCTCGAGCTCGTCATCGACCTCGCCTACAAGGAGTCGCCTTGCCACGAGTTCGCCGGAGCTCCTCGAGGTTTGGGCTTCACCCAGATCCAACAATCTCCCACTTGGAGTCCAAACCGCCGTCAGCAGGCTATCTCAACAAACATCATCTCCTGTGTGGCTCTGTCCTCATCACCTATGCATGAAGCCCAACTGAAGTTGCGCACAACTCCAGTTTCTGAAATATCACCGCCTTTGTTAACATGTCTGCTGGATTCTTACTTCTTGGAATCTTTTCCAGTTTTAACACGTCATCTTCCAACAGGGATCTGATGAAGTGGTACCGAAGCGTAATATGCTTCGTTCTAGAATGAAATGCGCACTCTAACTATCGCTATGAAAAACATTCTTCTCCTGTTTGAATCCCAGCTTTGTTAACAAACCCTGAAGTCATATCATCTCTTTACTGGCTTCAGCCACTGCAACATACTCAGCTTCTGTAGTAGATAGAGTGACAATCTTCTATATCTGTGACATCCAACTAACAGTTGTAGTTTCGACAGTGAATACGTAGCCGGTGGTGCTTCTTTGGTGATCGACTTCACCTCCAAAGTTTGCATCTACGTACCCTTGTACTTCTACATCTCCCTTACCAAAATACAAACACTTCTGTATGGTGCCTAGTAGATACCTCAGAATCCACTTGACCGCTTCCCAATAAGCTTTTCCTGGATTCGACATAAACCGGCTGACCACTCCTACTGCATGACCAATGTCTGGTCTCGTACAGACCATTGCGTACATCAAACTTTCGATAGCTAAGGCGTAATGGACCTTAGTCATACTCTCTTTCTCTTATTCTGACTGAGGAGATTGATCCTTCGATAGGCGAAAATGGTTGGCCAAGGGTGTGCTCACTGGCTTGGCGTCGCACATGTTGAATCTCTGCAAAACACGGTTGATGTACTCCGTCTGAGATAACTGTAAGAGACCTCTCTTATTATCTCTCGTGATTTGCATTATAAGGATCTTCTTCACAGGACCCAAGTCCTTCATGTCAAACTCCTTTGATAGCTGTAGCTTCAAACTCCTGATATCCTCTATATCTGCACCTGCAACCAACATATCATCAACATACAACAGTAGGATGATATAACTGGATTGATATCTTTTGAAGTAGCAACAGTGATCGGCGTTACACTTCTGGAAACCTTCATTATGCATAAAGCCGTCAAACTTTCTGTACCACTGTCTTGGGGCTTGTTTCAGTCCATACAAGCTTTTCTTGAGTCTGCACACCAGGTTCTTCTTCTTTTCTTCTGAAAAACCTTCTGGCTGGTGCATGTATATCTCCTTTTTTAGATTTCTGTGAAGAAACGTCGTCTTCACATCCAACTGTTCGAGATGAAGATCTTCAATAGCTACAATACTCATCATTGTCCTGATAGTATTTAGCTTCATCACTGGAGCAAAAATATCGGTGTAGTCAATTCCTTCCTTCTGCTGGAATCCTTTGACAACTAGCCGAGCTTTATATCTTCTGGAGCCGTCCTGCTCCTCTTTCACCCGGTACACCCATTTGTTGTGGAGTGTCTTCTTACCCGTAGGTAACTCAGCTAGTTCTCACGTCTGGTTTGAGATGAGAGACTTCATCTCATCTTTCATGCCAAGCTCCTACTTGCTCGTATCTCTATCCTGACAAGCTTCATCATAGCTTTCAGGCTCCCCACCATCTGTCAGTAACAGATAGTTCATATATCTCCTGTTAAGCACAGGAGGTCATGAAGATCTCCTCAAAATCGGAGTTGGTGAGTCAAGCTCTTGCGCACCATCTTGTCCAACAGGCTCTTCTGACTAAGGACCTTCTGCATTGGGTTTTTCTGAGAGGTTACTCGGGACATCATCTGTATCTACAAATATTGGCTCGCTCTCTGAGTCATCTATCTTGTGCATGTCCTTGTATATCATCTTCTCGTTGAATATCACATCTCTACTCCTGATCACCTTTTTATTTTCGTTGTCCCAAATGCGGTAGCCAAACTCATCTTCACCATAGCCGATGAAAGTGCATTTCTTTGACTTGGGATCAAGCTTATTCCTGTTTTGATCACCAATATGCACGTAAGCTATACAACCGAAAATTTTGAGGTGTGAGAGTTTTACCTCCTTTCCGCACCATACCTCCTCTGGTATTATGTGCTCCAATGGAACCGATGGACCTCAGTTGATCAAGTAAGCTGCTGTGTTGACCGTTTCTGCCCAAAATTGCTTCGGTAGGCCTGAATGTACCCAATTGCTTCTGGCTCTCTCTGTCAACGTTCAGTTCATCCGTTCAGCTACACCGTTTTGCTGAGGCGTGTCGGGCACTGTTCTCTCTATTCTGATCCCGTGCTCATAGCAGAACTTCTTGAATCCGGTGTTTTCATACTCACCGTCATTGTCGATCC